AAACTCTTGTAGAACTTGGCTGAGAATCCATTTGGTCCTGGGCTTTTCTTGGTTGGTAGGCCTTTGATGGCGTTTTCTATTTCACTACTTGAAATTGGTCTGTTTAAATCATGTATGACCTCCTCATTCAGTTTAGGTAGGTCATGTGTCTCTAGAAATTTGTCAATGTCTTTGATGTTTTCTATTTTATTAGAGTATAAAATTTTTAAACAGTTTCTAATTATCTTCTGTATTTCAGACATGTCTGTTGTGATATTTCCTTCTTCATCTTTTATTTTAGTAATTTGAGTTTTCTCTCTTTTAAACCCTTCATTAGCATGGCCAGGTGTTTATATATTTTATTTATTTTTTCAAAGAACCAATTTTTTTTGTCAATTTTTTCAATTGTTTCTTTTGTTTCAATTTCATTGATTTCAGCTCTGATTTTAATTATTTCCTGTCTTCTACTGCTTTTAGTGTTGATTTGTTCTTATTTTTCTAGGCCTTTGAGATGTACCTCTGTTCTCTCATCCACCATTTGAAACTGTAAACCATTTTAACAAATATTCTGTTAGTACTATAAGAAAGTTATTGAACTCATTATTTTGGTTTAATGAGAGACAGCAGTAGATGCCTTAGTGGGAGCTATTAGGTTTAAGGTTATATATTGTGTACACTGAGTGCTATGGATATTGGTCTCACCAGTAAAGGTGAAGCACTGGAAATCTTCAGGGACATTATAGGTCTACAGGGTAGAATTTATCCTGCATTAGATCCATACTTTTAGATGGGAAAACACACTAACAACATGAAAAAACAAGGTAACAAAGCACCTCACACAAACCAAGATGCTTCAACAACAGAAGTCACTGATAACACTGCAGAAGAATGTCCAAGAAGGACTTCAGATTGTATATAATTAAGCTGATATGTGAAGCAAAGGATAGTATAAGGAGTGAAATTTAAAAAAAAACAGGAAGTGAAAAGAAAACTTCAATACAGAGTTAGAGATTGTGAAAAAAAAAAAACAAGCAGAAATCTTCAAAATGAAGGAATCAGTAAGCCAAATTATAAATTCAATAGAAAGCATCACCATCAAACTAGACCATTTGGAAGATGGAACCTCAGACAATGAAGACAAAATATATAATCTTGAAAGTCGAGTTGAACATGGGAAGAAGATGGTAAACCATGAACAGAAATTCAAGAAATCCAAGAATGGGATCACATCAAAATCTCTGGGACACTATGAAGACAGTACTAAGAGAAAATATTTTTAACCAAATGACAACAGCCAACACAGAGTATCAACATTGATGGACTGCAAGGATATGTTGAATGGGATAATGACAACTTAAATGCCTATATTAGGGAAGAAAATTCTCAAATCCATTTCCTGAGCTTCCACTTTGAGAAAGGAGAGAAGGAGGTAAAAACTAAACCCAAAGTAATAAGAAGAAAGGAAATAATAAGGGAACAATGAACTAGAAATCAGAAATGTGATAGAAAAAAAATCAATAAAAACCAAGTTAGTTCTTTTTAAAAAGATAAAATTGGCAAACCATTAGCTACACTAATCTAAATAAATAGTAAAAAAAAAAGAACATAAATTGCCAATATTGGGGACAAAAGATGGGGCATCACTATTAACTTTACAGAGACTAAAAAGATTATAAGGGACACTACCAACAAATTTGTTCCAACAAGTTAGCAACTTAGATGAAATGAGCATATTTTGCAAAAGACACAAATTACCATACCTAATTCAAGAAGTCATTAAAAGTGTGAATAGATTTATCATATGAAAGAAAGCTGAATTAGTTAATTTAATTTTTTCCATAAAGAAAAGTTCACGTCCAGGTGGCTTTTCTATTCTACTAAATATTTATCTCCTAAGAAATATTTAAAGAAAAAATAACTCTTTACAAATTTCTTAAGAAAACAGGAGAAAATACTTCCTCATTTTATGAAACCATTGTTATCCTAAAACTAAAGTTAGCCAAAAACATCATAAATCTCCAGATTGATATCCCTTGTGAATATAAATGCAAAAATGCTAAAAAAAAATCTGAGCAAACAAAAACTAACAACATGTAAAAATAATTATACATCATGAACATGTAAAACTGATGCCAGGAATATAAGGCTGATTTAACACTTGAAAAAATTAACCAATACAATACATATGCTCATAGAATAAGGCAGAAACTGTACACTCATTTCAATAGACTTCTTTAACTTCTTTAACTTCTTTAACCCTCCACAGGGAATCTACAAAACATCCAAAGTTAAAGATTGAATTTAGTGGCAAGAGACTAAAGAGAAGGAACAAAGCAAAGAAGCCAACTCTCTCTGTTACTACTCCATGAACTGGAGGTTCTAACAAATGCATTAAGGTAAAAAACAAAAAGTGTCAAGAATGAAAAAGTAGTAGTAAAGCAATCTTTATTCATAGTAGACATGATCCTTAGTAGAAAACTCTAAGGGATCCATAAAAACTACTAGCTAGGACTAACAAGTGTAATAGGGTCACTAGATAAAAGATCAATATTTAAAAAATAGTTGCTTTGGGGAATAAATAAAAAATRAAGAGGGAATTTCATCAAAACAGAGGAAAGATCAGTAGAGTAGACAAAAGGGATTGAGGAGGAGGACAAGGGCCAGGCAAAGGGAAGAAGAGTGGAATGAATGTGTGTGTGCATGGATGTGGCACAATGGATTCCAGCATCAGGTATATCCACAGGGCACTAATTAAAACAGAAAAAAAAAGTACACTGTAAATTGATTGAAGAGGGATCAGTGGAGTAGAGAGAGGGGAGCAGTAGGGAAAGGGTGTGCTGGAGACTGAACTGGAGCAGGTTGTACTCCATGCTTTTGTGATAAAAATTAGGGTGTATCCTTGTGTAGTAAATAACAGAAAGAAGGAAGGAAGGAAGGAAGGGAGGATGGAAGGAAATGTATACGTAACTTACAATAAATGCTAAAAATTTTTAAAAATCAGTTGCTTTCTATATACCAGGAAAAATATGCCAAAATAAAATTAATAATCCCACTCAGAATATCCTCAAAAATGAAAAGTGTAGAATAAATTGAACAAAAAATATAAACTTTAAAAAATTTTATTCATTTATTTGTTATACATAACAGCACAATGCATTTCAATTCATAGTACACATATGGAGCACAATTTTTCATTRCTCTGGTTGTACACAAAGTAGAGTCACACCATTCCTATCTTCATATATGTACCTAGGGTAATGATGTCCATCTCATTCCACCATCTTTCTTACCCTCATGCCCCATCCCTTTTCCTCCCTCCCCTTTGCCCAATCAAAGTTCCTCCATTTTCCCCATGCCTCCCCCACCATTATGGATCAGCATCAACTTATCAGAGAGAAAATCCCCTTTGGTTTTGGGGATTTGCTTACTTCACTTAGCATGATATTCTCCAACTCCATCTATTTATCTGTAAATGCCATAATTTTATTCTCCTTTAATGCTGAGTAATATTCCATTGAGTATATATACCACAGTTTCTTTATCCATTCATCTATTGAAGGGCACAGTTTAGCTATTATGAATTGAGCTGCTAAAAACATTGATATGGCATTGTCACTGTAGTATGATGGTTTTAAGTCCTTTGGGTATAGACAGAAGAGTGGGATAGCTGGGTCAAATGGTTCCATTCCAAGTTTTCTAAGGAATCTCCATACTGCTTTCCAGATTGGTTGCACCAATTTGCAGTCCCACCAACAATGTAAGAGTGTGTCTTTCCTTCCACATCCTTGCCAATACTTATTGTTGCTTGTATTCTTTTTTAAAAATTTTTATTTTTTAGATGTAGCTGGACACAATACCTTTATTTTATTTATTTATTTATTTATTTTTATGTGGTGCGCAGGACTGAACCCTTACACATGCTAGGTAAGTGCTCTACCATTGAGCTACAACCCCAGCCCTGTTGCTTATATTCTTAACTGTCATTCTGACTGGAGTCAGATAAAATCTTAGAATAGTTTTGACTTGCATTTCTGTAATTACTAGAGATATTGAACCTTTTTTCATATATTTGTTGACCATTTGTATATCTTCTTCTGAGAGGTGTCTGTGATAATATCTGGGTGTATCCTTGTGTAACCATCTAATGATGGTTGGATGCCAAGAAGTAGGTGGTAATGTTTAGCCCATTTATTGATTGGGTTATTTATTTTTTTGATGTTAAGGTTTTTGAGTTCTTTATATATCCTGGAGATTAGTGCTCTGTCTGATGTGCATGTGGTAAAAATTTGCTCCCATTCTCTATGCTCTCTCTTTACCTCACAGATTGTTTCTTTTGCTGAGAAGAAGCTTCTCAGTTTGGATCCTTTCCATTTATTGATTCTTAATTTTATTTCTTGAGCTATAAGAGTTTTGTTCAGGAAGTCAGGGCCTAATTGGACATGATGAAGATTTGGGCCTACTTTTTCTTCTATTAGGCACAGGGTCTCTGGCCTCATCCCTAGGTCCTGGATCCATTTTGAGTTGAGTTTTATGCATGGCAAGAGGTAAGGGTTTAATTTTATTTTGCTGCTTATGGATTTCCAGTTTCCCCAGCACCATTTGTTAAAGAGACTATCTTTTCTCCAATATAAGTTTTTGGCACCTTTGTCAAGTATGAGATAACTGTATTTATCTATTTTTGTGCCAATACCATGCCATTTTTGTTACTATTGCTCTGTAGTACAGTTTAAGGTCTGATGCCTCCTGCTTCACTCTTCTTGTTAAGGATTGCTTTGGCTGTTCTATTACTTTTCCAGATGAATTTCATGATTGCTTTTTCTATTTCTATGAGGAATGTCACTGGGATTTTGATTGGAATTGTATTAAATCTGTATAGTGCTTTTGGTAGTATGATCATATTGACAATATTAATTCTGCCTATCCAAGAGCATGAGAGATCTTTCCGTTTTCTAAGGTCTTCTTTTAATTTCTTTTAATTTCTTTTAATTTTAATCTTCTTTTAATTTCTTTCTTGAGTGTTCTAAAAACGATGGTTAGATGCCAAGAAGTAGGTGGTAATGCCTTAACTGTACGAGTGTTGTCAGGCCCAAGGGCCTCTTCCATCTTTGTCAAGGCTAGTGCTAACCTTCTCTCCTTTCATATAACACAAAATATAAAACTTATATAGTAAAAACTACAAAATATTGCTGAAAGAATATATAAAGACCTAAATAAACAGACACTTTGACCTTATGGATATGAAGACTTAATATTGTTGAGATGCCATACTGCTCAAATTGATCAACACAATCCCTTATCAAAATCTCTGGAGGCTTTTTTAAAAGTAGATATTAACAGGTTGATTTTAAGTTTTATATTTAAGATGCAGAGTACTTAGAAAAGCCAAAACAATTTTGAAAAAGATGAATAAATGTTTTTTAGCAGGCAAATGGGCAAACTCTGGCATATCTATACAATCCAATAGTACTAATCAATAAAAAGGAATAAATTAAGGACACATGGAAAACAGCTGAGTTTCAATTGCACTGTGCCAAACAAAAGAAGCTAGATTCAAAGGATATGTACTATACCATTCCATTTATACAATATTCTGGTAAAGGCAAAACTACTGAAATAGAAAACAGATTGCCAAGGCCTGAAGAGTGGACAAAGGTTTATATATAAGGTTTATATATAAGCGGACAAAGGTTTGTACAGGAGGATCTTGGAGGGTGTGAAAATTCTTAGATATTTTGAGTGTGATGGTGGCTACATGACTGTACATCAGAAGGATGAATTTTCCTGTGTATTAAAATAAAAACAGTAACTCAAAATTCTTGGGCTGGGGATGTAACTCAGTGATAGAGTGCTTGTCCAGCATCACAAGGCCCCAGGTTCAATTTCTAACACTGAAAAAAACCAACAAACGAAACAAATAAATATAAACTAAACAAAAAAAATTCCTTTAAATGTTAATTTTTTTTCTGGGGATTAAACTCAGGGATGCTTAACCACAAAGCCACATTCCCAGCCCATTTAAATTTTTATTGTACTAAATTGCTTAGGTTCTTTCGAAGTAGCTGAGGCTGGCTTTAAACTTGTGATCCTCCTGCCTCGGTCTCCCGAGTTGCAGAGATTACAGGTGGGCTCCATCATGCCCAGCTACATGTATTGTTTGTTAAATCGAAACTTTAAAAATTTCAGATACGGGATTATCTGAACATTCTAAATAAGCACAAAAGTTATTCTAGGTGCAGATTTCCCATAATTTAACCAGTTATATAACTTTTTATTTCTAGTAAAGTGCCCCTTGTATTTTTCCAAAGTCTTCTTTTCAATATAATTGTGTTTCTTTTTAACAAGTATCTATAATTAATTTTTAAATYCAGCACTATTGACATCTTCAAAAATATTTATTTCTATGTCACCTTCAAATTAATGTATTAGTAACACTAATGTATAACACTTGTTTTGGAATCCTGGTAGAATCCTACTCTTTTCAGCTGGGTCTCCTGGTCACCACACCACTCTCACCTGCTTTTCTTTCCTCCTTGGAAGTAAACATCACTTTGTATACCTCACTTCCTTAATGTCCGTGGAATAATCCTAACTCCACAATTTTTGGTAGTAAGTGTTTACTTTTATGCTAAATATACAATACCTTAACGTTTCAGCTGCTTACGTAGAGTATCCTGAAAACAAATTCATTATTGCCACATCATAATTACTTAGACTAAGCATAAAAATAGCATTAGAGCGTCAATTTGAAAAGAAAAAACAGTAAGTTTAGATCATCATTCTGTGAAGATGTACACTGAACTAACCTAAAATTTAAATGGAATGGGAAGGAAGCCACCCACGGCAAGCCAAGCCAGTGACCACAGAGTCAATAAGAAGGCTTGCTATTTTCAAGCTCTGGCTTTTTCCGGTACCACTAAAAACAGCTCTAATTTAAACTCCACAGCACTTCTGGGTAAGGGGATCATACAAAAAAATGAAATACAATATTTCATAGCCAAATTCCATTTTTTTACACAGTAAGTCTCCCTCTTTATATTTGTCTATTTTCTCTTGATGGGGCTGTAGAAGATATATGATTTATTATGTAGAAGTAGGTTCAAATCATAATTYTGTTTACTTAAAAGCTGTGCAAATTTGAGCTAGTTACTCAATTATTTAGATCACTGGTTTGCAAACAAAAAGTTTCCTTAAAAACAGGAGATATTATATAACATCTAACTCAAGAGGTTAATGATGTGATTAAATGAGATATATCATTTAATCAAATCCAACAATACATGGCAAAAATATTTCTAATTTTCAGTTCATCACAGTATACAATATTTTAAATATAAATTTGGAATATAAATACTTTCATAATTGATGTAGTTTTTATCAGTAAAAAAATTATAAACACATTATGTCTGAGAGAGAAAGGGGCTCTTGGGAGAAGACTACCTTCTTTGGTCAAACAAATGAAATAAAAGCAACTTGGATTCAACTGAAATGTAAGTCCATTTTGATGGAGGCTTAAAGGGACAAGAACAGCATCCAGGTGCCACACATCCTTGAGTTAACTAAAATCACCATGCAAACTTCTACATATTACTCATAACAACTGGGATCAAATCCTGGATATATTCTCAAGTAATTTTATTTTAAAGCAGAATTCATGTGTCCTTAAGAAGGAGTTTAACTTGCTTCTCTGACATGAGAATTAAAGTCCTTTTTAAACTGAATTATTATAGTCATGCATCACTCAACAACCAGGATATGTTCTCAGAAACTCATCATTTGGCATTTTTGTCATATAAATCCCATAAAGCATACTTACATGCACAGCCTACCACACATCAAGGCTATATGGTATCTTCTATGGTTACTAGGTTACAAACCTATACAGTATGTCACTGCACTGAATGGTATAGGCAACTCTAAGACAATGGTTATTATATATTTTACCCAAATTATCTTAAACCATGGGGAAGGGTAGCTAAGAAAGGAAAACTCTCAACTCTTTTAAAAACATAGACTTAAAAATTCTGTTAGGAATACTAGCAAATCAAATCAAGTAAGAATGTGACAACAGCTTAAGTAAGTAAATCTAGTGATGTCAGTACCACAACAATTATTTGCCATTGCTTGAAAGGTTAAATGTAATGAAATATTTTAAAAAGTGAAATAAACATAGACAAGAAGAGACAATATCATCTCTAAGTGAAAATAATATAACTGTGGACCTAACAGAACCAGAAAAGAAAAAAGACTAGAGTAATAAAAATTTGTGAAGACAGCTAACACAAGAAATAYTTAAACAACCAATACTTCTCTCTATATCACAATAACATGTTAGAAACAATAACAAAATTTCTACCCACATTATTGACTAAAACTATAGAATATCTAGAAATACATTAAGAAAAGCTCAAGACTCCTAGTAGTGAAATTATAAAAACTTATTGAAAGATTTAAACAGGATCTCAAAAAAAGAAAAACAGCACTGTGGATAGCAAGACTCAACTTCATGAAAACAGCAACCTTCTAAAAATTAATATGTATATGTGACTCTACTCCAACAAGAATTGTAATTACTTTTAAATTGACAAAACTGACTTAAAAGAAATATAGTCCCCCAAAGAATAATAATTCCCTAAAAATATGAAAAATACTAAGGAGTTTCAGCAAAACAGCATGGAATTGGCATAAGACACAAATAATGTCATTACAATAAGAGTGTAGATAGATCCAAGTATAGTAATCCTCACGCTTAGGGGGCAGAAATCAGAATTGGAAGCAGCTGCGCAGCTGGAATCTGAGGAGCAGAGAGCAAGAGAAAAGAGAAGTGATGGGAAAATTAAGGAGGCAGAAGCCAATGTAGAGGACTCCCTCCAGTTCCTGGATAGGGCCAGGTGAGAAAACTCAAAGGTTATCAGAGAGTACTGCTAGAGGCCAACAGCAGGTCAGAGGTGTTCAAATAGCTCTGAAGTGCACTGAAGTCCTAGACCAGCCAGAGAAGAAAGACCTTGACATCCGACTGAGAAACCAAAAAAAGCCTCACCAGAAAAACCACATCCTAGACTGAGACCTATTCCACACCCATCTAACAAAGCCTGAAGCCAAGATTGGACAAGGGAAGGCAGAGGTTAGCAGCTAAGCCCTGCTCTGACAAAAGAATTTGAAAAACACCCTAGGTTTTCCACACCAGTATATATACTAACAAAATCAATTCTAAACAAGTTCAAGGTGATTAGGCATGACTAAACTACCCAATGTGCAGAGGAAGTCAGAAGAATTTAGAGTCCTACATGTCAGTTATTGATTGACTGATTGATTGCACTGGGGATTGATCCCAGGGGTGCTTTATCACTGAGCTACATCCCAAATCCTTTCTTGAGATAGGGTCTCACTAAGTTGACCAGACTGGCCTTAAACTTGCAATCTTCCTGCTTCACCTCCCGAGTGTCTAGAATTATAGGTGTATGCCACCTGGAAGATTCTACCATAAAAAAGAAAATCAACCAAACAAAAACCCCTAAAAGCTAGACAATAAAACAAGATAATATGGCTCATGGTCAGAAAAGGGAGAAAAAATTGTCAATAGAAACTGCCCTAGAAATAGACAAGGCATTCAATTTATCAAAGACTTTAAAGCAGGTATTACAAATAAATGTTAAAAATTTAAAACAGTTTTAAAATTAAACAAAATTAGTCTTGATGAATAAAGAGACAGGGAGTCTCAGCATAAAAGTTGGTATTATTTTTAATGGAAATTTTAGAATTAAAATGTAAATGAAAATCAAAAATTCATTTAATGACCTTAATAGATTAGAAATGGCAGAAGGAAAAAGGCAGTGAAATTCTAAAGGAACAAAGAATAAGGGAGCATCTTACTAAAAAGGAATACCTGCCTAGGAAATAATAGGAAGTAAAGAAACAGACTAACAAGAGAAGGAATTCAACAAGAAAAGTCATCATAATTTGAGGTATAAGTGACCAGAAACATCTATTCTAAAAGCTTTTAATCTAGCAGTAAGGAAAACACAGGTTAAACTAACCTAGATTTAAAACTATCACTCACTTAGCTGTATGACTTTACCCAAACTGTCTGTTCTCCCAGGCCATATTATCCACATCTGGAGCTCACAAGACAGCATTTTAGCTTTTTGCT